TCTTGTTTGGTGTAGGTTGGGGTTAATAAGACTTGGAAAGGCCCCACTGGTCTTTGGGCATCTTCCTTAGCAGTTTGGTCTGAGGCTCTATTTCATCTGGCTTCAATTGTCTCCCTTTTCTGATGTCCTTTGTAGTGCACTATGACAACTGCTTTTAGGAGTCAGATGGACTCAAATAAGCTAAAATCTCTTCCTTATTTTTAATGTTCTTTCTGGCTGAAGTTGGTAATCCTCTTTCCTGGGGGATGGCACTGTGTCCCCATTGAAGGGCCTGGATTAAGGCCAAAAGTTCAGGAACTGTGCCCAAATGCTGCCCCTGTATATCAGATCCCATCCCGAACGTAACTGCTCCCATCCGTGAACAGTACCTTCTCTGGTGATGACAGCAGGACATCTGTCAGTACTGTGTCTGTCACCTCTATGCTAGGGGTGTCGAACTCAATCAGAGAAGGGGCCAAAATCTAAAATCCAGCCTAAATCGCGGGCCGAATGGTTTACTGAACAGTCATAAACTGTCATTGTGATGGAAACGCAGCGGAGTGCAGTGATGACAGCGCGGTGCGGGCCACATTGCAAGGCCTGGCGGGACGGATTTGGCCCGCGGGCCTTGTGTTTGACACATGTGCTCTATGCCATCATGAATGGGTTCCTCTGGATCATCTGGAAGCAGGCTGGCAGGGATGATGGCCAGTGTCTTATGGAAGCAGACACAGGGCTGGTCCAGGAGAAGAGCTTGGCACTGGGTGATTCTGGTGTTTGACATCCATCTCTTTGGAGCACCCGAAGGAGGGTCTCAATGGCATGGGGTGTTGTCAGGGCTAGCTCCTGGCCCAGAGTCTGCTTATCTGCCTCCTTCACCAGCAATGCAGTGGTGGCCGCTGCCCAGAGGCACACTGGCCACTCTGCTGCAGATAGGCCACAAGTCTCTTCCAGGGACCTAGAGTCTGAGTGAGAATCCCTTTGGCAATGCCCCTTACCTCACTCACGTAGAGGTGGAAGGGCTTCGTGACATCTGGCAAGGCTAGGGCAGGTGCTGAGACGAGAGCCTTCTTTAACTCCTCAAAGGCCCATTGTTCCACTTTGGTCCAGTTCAGCGGCTGCGTTCCCCCAGTACGTGTTCCTTCTTAGGTCTACAGTCCTTCTTGATGTCCAAGGAAAACAGGCAGTTTGTCTGGTGGCTCCCTAGACTGATATCTTCCTAGAGGCCCCATTGGCTCTGTCAAGACTGAATAAACTGCCCCTGTGCTCACCAGGAAATTAATAGGTTTGCCTCTCACTTGTAAGGTTACCCGTGGGGGTTTAATGAAAAGGAGCCCCAGTCCTGTTAGTTCTCTTCCTCTAAGTTAAAAAAATAACAAAACCCTTTGGAGTCTAAGTCTCCCTTCTTGTCTCTCCAGCTAACCTGCCAGGATGTCCTCCCTTCCAATGTCCTATTGGCTGCTGGCTTTCTCTTCCTTTTCATCCTTTCCTGTTCCCCTTCTCATGACATACACAACCTTCATAAAAACTTTAAGTTAGCCTTCAAATTTTCTTTCTATGTTCTTCAAAAATGCATAACCATGCCTCAAACTTCCTATTACTTTAAAATATTTAGAAAAGGCAGAGGGAGGAGGGAGCAGGCTCAGTACCCTGTTCCCAGGCCTCCAGCCTCTTGAAATTTAAGCTGCCACATTTTCCCTACAGATAAGGATCTCAGATTCTGATAAGATTGAAAAGGGGAACAGGAGAACTTCTAGCTGCGCCTTTAAGGCCCCTAACAGAACACGGTGAAAAGTGTCCAAGCAGTGGGGGTTTTGGGGTCTCATTGGAGTGCAGGGGGGTCACAGGGGAATTTTCCTCCTTGCTGCAGCCGCCTCCAGCTACTCAAAACAACCCCTGGAGGTGGGCGGAGGCAGGGAGCTTGCGGGTCCCAGGTGGCGAAGGCGGTGCTTCCACCAGGGCGTTTTCATCTGGCTGTCCGCTGCCTTGGGGGAACCGGTGACCCCTACACTGCAACCAGACTCCCTGAGCTTTCTGAAAAGCTCCTCTGTGTGTGTTTCCGTTAATATTACTGATTTTAAAACTATCACTTAAGCCAAAGCTGGTTTGGCTCAGTGGATAGAGCGTCGGCTTGGGGACTGAGGGGTCCCGGGTTCGATTCCGGTCAAGGGCATGTACCTTGGTTGCGGGCACATCCCCAGTGGGGGGTGTGCAAGAGGCGGCTGATCGATGACTCTCTCATCGATGTTTCTAACTTGCTATCTCTCTCCCTTCCTCTCTGTACAAAATCAATAAAATATATTAAAAAAACAACAAAAAACAAAAACAAAAAAAAACTATAACTTTAAGAGTTGACACACACACACAAGGACCAAGTTGCCCTCACAATATTTTCCTTTTCTTCTAAAGATTTTACAATGATCATCGTTAATCACATTAAACTTAGATGGCCAATTGAAACAAACAGTTCTGAGACCATTCCTCCACCACTGATGAAGACTGGGTGGAGGCAGGTGTCTGAAATAAGATTCATTTAGTTTCTGAGCTTGCTGGGCAGACTTGGTGACTTTGCCAGCTCAAGCTTCCTTCTTGTAAATATTATAGTTCATTTTAGAATTCGTTCTCTGCTCTTAACCTTTTTGGACCATAATTGTTACAACTTCATACCTTCAAATTAATAAACATATAAATCCTGTTAGGTGGGCCGATTCCGCTCTGACAGAAAGCAAAGCACCCTTGGGAAAAAGGAATCCTAGTGGCCACTCAGGGTGGTTTGCTAGCTGTCAGAGCCCTCAGCTTTAAACAAATTAAAGGTTTCTTTCTTTTTCTTTTATTTTCTTTTATCCTTTTTTTTTTTTTTTTAGATTTTCACACTTACATGAACAAATAATTATACCCAAGCAGACAAACAAAATATTAAACAAACATCTGTACTTATACCCTTTCAGTAAACAAGTACTATTACAATGTTTCAGCAAAACAGAAATGGCACTCATATTGGACAAAGGAAACAAGACTAATACTCTAGGAACTGTGAGGGGAAAGTTATCCCACAGACCGGCATTGACCTGGGAAAAAGAGTGGTTAAATCAAAAGTGTTTAACATCAGAGCCGTATTCGTCCGCCCGTTTTCGGAAATCCTGAAAATTCTTAAGAAAACATTGCAACTGGGTGGAGGGTCCAGACGGACCCTGCCCCATCCTGACCGTACGAAGAAAAGACACAAACAGCAGACTAACAAAGACAATACAGCACACAGAGACCAGACACACCTGTCCGGTCCCACTCCTGATACCGCAGACCTGTGAATCCTGAGTGCCGTCACGGCGGGATTCTGGAGCTGGAGGTTATGCTGCGTCCAGCGCTCCTAGGGTCCCCCAGATTGGAACGTTCCCCAGACCAGACCAGACCTTATCTCAGTCTCTGAGGCCCAGATGGCTTCAACTACCGGATGGCCGTTTTGTGCGGAGGTCACTTTGCTTCCCTGGAACCCGGGACGGAGATCAGAGTGTCCTCCCTGGGGTGTCCATCCACTGACAACGAGGTCAGAGTGGATCTCGCTGGGGGCCTCCAGATGTTATGGGCGACCCGCGAATGACGACCACCAGTCAGCCACATTCGAATTTAGGAAACCTTCATTACGAACTCGAGTCCGGGCTCCCCTCAACTGACACAGCAGCGAGCAACGAGAGTCCCGACCCGCTCTAAGCATGCTCCTTTCATCCCCGTCTTAGGGATGCCTGGCAGATCATGATTGGCTAAAGTTTTAACAAAGAAACGTCAGTTATAAGTCATAGAAAAATTCCACTAGTACAGTAACATTTAAAGTTCATACAACACCTGGGCTGGGGGTTTATTTTCAGCTTAAGCAGTCTCTGTTTCACCTGGTTTGGTCTGTTTGTCCTGCCTTGCGGCTACTGGTAACAGGACGTGCCTGCCTGGGGGTAGAGCCTTGCAAAAGAACTAATTTATGACTAAGTTATGTTACCACTGGGTCTTGCCGGCCACAACAAGACACTCAACCACCTGAGCCACAAGATTCTTGATCCTTTCTTTCTCCCTTTCTCTCCCTCTTTCTTTCCTCTCTTCCTTTCTTTCTTAAGTATATTTTTATTGATTTCAGAGAGGAAGGGTGAGGGAGGGAGAGATAGAATCATCAATGATGAGAGAGAATCTTTGATCGGCTGCCTCCTGGGGTCCCCAGCATGGGGATCAAGCCCCCAACCTAGGCGTGTGCCCTGACTGGGAATCAAACCATGACCTCCTGGTTCATAGGTCGATGCTCAACCACTGAGGCATGCCAGCTGGGCGATTCTTGGACATTTTCAACGAGTCTTTTAAAGATACATTTGTATTGCCTGGCCAGTGTGGCTCAATGGTTGAACATTGTCCTATGAACCAGGAATGCATGGTTCAATTCCCGGTCAGGACACATGCCCAGGTTGCAGGCCTGATCCTCAGTGGGGGACGTGCAGGAGGCAGGTGATCAGTGATTCTCTCTTTCTTCCTCTCTGAAATCAATAAAAACACATTTTTTAAAAATATCAAAGACCAAACTTTATTTTTATTTAATTAAAAATGTGTTTTTATTGATTTCTTTTAGAGAGAGAGGAAGGGAGAGGGAGAGAGAGAGAGAAATATCGATGCGAGAGAAACATTGGTTGGCTGCATCCTGCATGCCCCCTACCAGGGATGGAGGCCACAATCCGGGCATGTGCCCTGACTGGGAATGGACTGGACACCTCTTGGTACGTGGGAGGACACTCACCCCCCCTGAGCCACAGCCCAGCCGGAGTGAGCGTTTGATGTCTTTCAAGTGTGGGTTCTAACGCCCGGCGGAGCTGGCATTTCCGATTTAGCAGAGCTCAGCTCCTCTGCCTCTCAGAAGCAGATTGGAGCTAAGTCTCACGTACAGGTCACACTGAGGGACTTAAAGATCATGCCCTTGCCGAGCCCTTTGCTCCTGAGAAGACTTCTGTGTTGTTGCTCAAACATGGTTGCTCAAACATGGTCCGACAAAGGTTCATTAGTCAGGTTCAGCATCTTCTTTTAAGAAGACAGGACACTGACCTTTCGTTGTAGGAAGCATTTCATCCAAAATGGTTAACAGCCCTAGCCTGTTCGGCTCAGTTGGATAGCACATCGGCCTGCGGACTGAAGGGTCCCAGGATTGATTCCGGTCAGGGGCACATGCCCGGGTTGTGGGCTCGATCCCCAGTTCTGGAGGCAGCCAATCAATCCCAATCAATGGTTCTCTCTCATCATGGATGTTTCTTTCTCTCTCTCCCTCTTCCGTCCTCTCTGAAATCAATAAAAACATATTAAAAATGGTTAATATATTTATGATGAATGCTTAGAGGGAAATTCAGCAGCTCCTTCTCAAGTAATGTCAAATCGGCATATTTTACTGCAGAGGGCACCAACTCCCCTCCCCCTCAACATTGTTTTCTCCTCAGTTAGTGACCTGGAAGGCTTGAATAAAAACCACATCAGGGAAAACATTGTTTTGTGAACCCTTTCAGCTTAATTAATTCACTTTGGCTGTCCAAATTCATCCGGTCTGCCAGTGATTTTCAAGCGCAGTGTTATGACAGCGTGCATACCATGACTGGGCACGGATTTCTGTTTGCGGAGCTAAACAAATGCCAACAGAAGATTCTTAGGCAAATGAACTTCCCCCTGAGTGGGTTCTTTGCTCTCATCCATCTGCATTCATTCCCACGGTCTGAGGAGTTAGGTACACATGAATGAAGGGGGATTGGGTCACAGGGGAAACATTCTTCTCTATCCATTTCAGAAGTCTAAAAACCTTTCAGCCCGAGCCAGTTTGGCTCAATGGATAGAGCATTGGCCTGCGGTCTGAAGGGTCCCAGGTTCGATTCCAGTCCAGGGCACATGCCTGGGTTGTGGGCTTGATCCCCAGTAGGGGGTGTACAGGAGGCAGCCAATCAATGATTCTCTCTCATCATTGATGTTTCTATCTCTCTCTCCCTCTCCCTTCCTCTCTGAAATTAAAAAATATTAAAAAATAAAAACTGCCAAAACCGGTTTGGCTCAGTGGATAAGCATCAGCCTGCGACTGAAAGGTCCCAGGTTTGATTACGTACGGTCAAGGGTATGCACCTTGGTTGCGGGCACATCCCCAGTAGGAGGTGTGTAGGAAGTAGCTGATCAATGTTTCTAACTCTCTATCCCTTTCTCTCTCTTCCTCTCTGTAAAAAAATCAATTATATATATATATATATATATATATATATATATATATATATATATATACCTTTCCATTTCTTCTATCATATTTTAAGGAATGTAAACATTTTTCTTCAAAAAGCCAAGCAGAATCACCCTGTGACCTAGCATCGCCATGCCTAAGAAGGAAATGGGGCATTCATACACTAATGTTCATAGCAGCACCATTAATAACCAAATGATGGACACCACCAAATTGCCCATCAACAGACGAATGGATTAACAAAATGGACACACACACACACACACACACACACACTGGAATATTACCCGCCAGAAAAGGAATAAAATACTAATACAATGCTACCACACGGTGAACCTCAGGAAATTGTGCTAAGTGAAAGAAGCCAGACATAAAAGTGGCACATTCTCTGCTTCCGTTCACACTCAGTACCCAGGACAGGTGAGCCGGGGACACAGAAGCACATTGGTGACTGCCAGGGACAGGAGAAGGAAGGAGTAGGGAGTGATTGTGGGGAGTTTATGAAAATGTTTTAGAACTGGATAAAGAGGGTGGTTGCACAACATTGTGAATATAAATGCTACTAAATTGTACTCTTTAGAAAGAGTTAGTTTTGTGTTTTGTGAATTTCACCTTAAGAAAAATTCATCGTTTTTTCTGTACCCTGGGGAATGGGATTTTCTGGATATCCAAACAACGTTTGTGGGCCTCTTCTCCTCTTAAAAGGGATTGTGCAGGCCAGCCTGGACTGTCCTTGACATTCTAGAAGAGAGATACAAATCCATGCCTGTCTCACTGAGGGTCCTTCATATAGACTAGATGTTTGCAATGATACTGTACAGAACTATCGATAAAAGCAGAAAAACTCGTGCACGATATTTTTCTGGCCACTAGATGTCATGCGTGCACAGTCTATGCTTCAGCTCGAAAAACTGCATCCTCCTCAGAGAGGTTTGTCTCTGTAAGCAGGGCACTGAGAAGCAGAGTGCGGGCGATGGAGGATGAGTGAAATGGCAACTCAAAATCTAGCACAAGGCCTATTTGGGGCCCCTGCTCAAGTATTCTGACCAAGAAAGGGGAGTGACCTGGGACCCTGTGGCTTTAGACAGTAAGGGAGCACTCATTTGGCAAACTAAAAGAAGGACGGGTAGATGCTCATGGTCACTGCCTTACTTCCCAACGACGGGTCTTCTCCTTAGAGAGGGGCTTCCTCAGGCTTCGTCCTGACTCCAGCCTGACTGTGGGCTTCCGGCCATGCCCTCTCTGGGCTGCGGTGAGTCCAGGAGGCCTGATGCAAACAGCACCTTCAGTTATTCCTCTGGGCTGTGGGAAGTCACCGGAATGAAAACATCATTAACCTACGCTCACCTGAGTGGATATTTGGGCTGTTTCCAGTCTGGGGCCATAATGAATAGGGCTGTTATGATTATTCCTGCCCAAGCCTTTTGGTGCACAAAGGAGCAGTGGGTGAGCGTTCACATTGTCCTGTGATCCTGGTGACAGCTGGTATGGTCAGCCTTTATGTGGGTGCCACCAGGCTTAGGATGGCTCTGAGTGTACCTCGCTGGGGTTTTAATGTTCATTTATTTTGTCACTAAGGAGTTTAACCTTCTCAGATGTTAATGGGCCACCTGGATATTTTTTTCTTGTGAGTGCCTATCTATGTTAATTATAGGGGTGATATGCAAATTGGCCAGGACACCGTCACAGTAACGACCAATCAGCAGGCTGTGTGCACAGCAGGCACAAGTGGGGGGGACTTGCAGTGTTGGGGATGGGGCGGGGCTGTGGCAGAGAGGCCTCTCCACCCTCCTGTGCCCCTCTCTGCCGTGGCCCCGGCTGGGGGTCTGCAGGCCTCCCCCGGCTCTGGCCTACTTCTTTGGGGCAATCCATCAAGGAGCCCCAGATGGGTGGGCATTGTCTACTTTTTTGGGGCAATTGGTCACGGGGCTCCCACACTGTGACAGGGAACAAGCCAGGCTAGGGGACCCCCGCCCCCTGCTCCAAGTGCACAAATTTTGTGCACCGGGCCACTATTTTATCTATAAGCAGCTGAATGTTTTTCTTAGTAATTTGCAAGAGGTCTTTATATATTCTGGACATGAGTCCTTTGTTGCTTATGTGTGTTGGAAGTATCTTCTTCCACTCTGGGGCTTGGCTCTTCACTTGGAATGGGGTGCCTTCATAAACTAAAGTTTCTAATTTTAATGATGTGCAAGTAACCTTTTTCTTTGTCTTAGTTAAGATATTCTTGCCTAGCTTCCTATTTATTGATGTCTGTCATTCCTCTCTTATTAGAATCATTTGAGGGTATTTGATGTTTACTGATGCCATCCTAAGTGATATAATTCTTTTAAACGTACTTTTTATTTTAGAATAGTTTCACATTTACATAAAAGTTACAAACATACTGCAGAGAGTTTCTGTGGTAGTATAGTTTTTAAAATTAAAAAAAATATTTCATTTTCATAATTGTTGCTGTTATATAGAAATATAATTGTATTTTGTTTATTGTCCTTGTGTATATCAACTTTGTATATGTACTTATTAACTGTAATAATTTATTTGATGATCTTTTTGGATTTTCTGTTTATCCAATTATGTCACCTGTGAACAAGACAGTTTTATTTCTTCCTTCCTAATCCCTAAAACTTTCCCCCTTTATTATACTGGCTTGAACCTCCAGGAAAATGAAAATGTAAATCATGGTATCAACCATCTGTGTCTCTTTCCCAAACTCAAGGAAACTTCCCATAGTTCACCATTAAGTATGATGTTTATGATAGAATTTTTGGTACATAGTTTTTATCAGATTAATAAAAATTTCCACCCTTTTTCTTGGGAATTTTTAAAAAAATCATAATTGGATTTTGATTTTTCTCTTGGGATTTACATTTTCTCAATTGTTTTTCCTGCCTGTGCTAAAGTATCTTTTTCTCCTTTATTTTTGTTACATTAGATTTTAAACATTACACCAACCTTGCATTCCAGGGGTAAACGCAACCTGTGGTGATATATTGTAGTATTCTGTGTATATATCCCTGCTTTGGCGCTTTCTTGTGCTTTCCAAGAAATTCTCAGGAAAAGACATTGTCCAGCATTTCTAGTTCTCTCAGTAAAAGGTTTGGTATAAAATAAGCTAGGCTGCCTTTGCTGAAGTGGGAAAACGTTACCTATTTTTAATTTCGGTGTATTTACGTTTTCCTTTTCACCGTAGATCAATATTGCAGCGTGTGTGTGTGGCCCACCACGCTAAGAATTCTCCATTCTGCCACAGAAGCTCCCTTGCCAGCCTGCCAGGCTGTGCCTCAGTCCCCGCCCTTCCAGGCAGATGGGTCACTCTGGGTCTTTGACCCCCTTTCCTGGTGCTCCTGCCCCTTTTTCAGGTTACTAGGTTGCTGTTCCAGTCCAGCCAGCTGACTGTGATTCTCCATGCGGCCTCGAGGAGCTCGGAAGAGCCTGGCACAGGTTCTCCGGATAGACTCGTGGTGTCCGCCTCATTTCCCTGCAGCCCCTCCACCCATGTGTTCCATGACATGGCGGACCTGCTACTCTCTTTTTAAAATCTAAGTCCAAACTTCAGCAACCCATGCTTTACTTTAGCTTGGTGGTTCCCCGTATCCTTGTGATTGGCTGAATAAGTAATGCATCCCCCAGCCGAAATGGGTTTGGCTCAGTGGATAGAGCGTCAGCCTGTGGACTGAAAGGTCCCAGGTTCTATTCCAGTCGGGGGCATGTACCTTGGTTGCAGGCGCATCCTCAGTAGGGGGTGTGCCAGAGGCAGCTGATCGATGATTCTCTCTCATTCATGTTTCTAACTCTCTATCCCTCTCTCTTCCTCTCTGTAAAATAAATAAATAAATAAATAAACAAATAAAAATATTTTTAATTTTTTTTAAATAATGCATCCCCCTCCTTGGCGCCCCCCGCTCCCCGCTCCCCAATCCACTCCTAATCCCCAGAACCTGTGAACGTCACAAAAGTGACTTGCTCTGATGTAAGTTAAAGTTAAGGATCTGGAGATGGGGAGGTTATTCTGGATTATCTGCGTGGGCCCTAATTGGAGTCACAGGGACCCAGAGGGAGGCAAGAAGATCAATGGATGGGGCAGATGTGCCGATAAGCACGAGACTGGAGTGATTCGAGGAGGCGGCTGTGAGCCAAGGCGTGTAGGCGGCCCCAGGAGTGAAAGGCAAGGGGGACGGGTCCTCCCTCCGAGCCTCCGGAAGCAGCCAGGCCTGCCGCACCTTGACTGGAGCCCAGGGAGACCGGACTGGGTTTCCGCCTTCCACGTCTGCGAGAGAGGAAGTCTGCGCTGTATGAAGCGCGGCGTTTGTGGCGATTTGTCTCAGTGGCGACAGGAAATGAATCCAGTTCTCCGCTTGCACAACCAGGGGAGAGCTGGGACTCAATACACACCAGGAATTGCTTATTGACCAAGGAAGGGTGGAGCCCGAGACACATAACTTGTCCTACAAAAGCAAACCCGGGGTGGAGTCCCTCAGAGGGACATAAGCAGGACTCTGTCTATTCCAAGAGGGAGGTAGCAGGTGCAGCCGGCCGGAGACACAGATGCCACATCCAAATCCAGCGGCAGGTCGTGCAGTGAGTTTGCACAGAGAAGGCGCATGGGGTGTTGATGGCGGTCTGAGCTGTACGTATTTTTAGGTATTGGGTTCTTAGTTTGCTAATAAATAAACTAGTCATAGAGAACTTCCAGCAGGGTATGCGCTGAGTGGTTCTGATGTGGGTCACTGGAAGAGGGGTAGGGGTGATGGAGGCACCTATAAGATTGGGGAACTCACCACCGGGGAGGCTGGGGAGAGAAGGCCTGCGCGTCCCTGGTCTCTGGTGAGCTGCGGCTGGATAACATGACTGAATGTTCCGCAAGTAAGTTATTTGCTATCATTAATTACTTACATGGACAGAACTGAAAGTCAGAAAG